CGGAGGAATGAGACTCGGCTACGTAAGAATGTCAACAAACTCAGCAACAAAGAGAAAGCGTGTTCTTCGGCCACGCCGCTTGCCAAGTTTATAACCGAATGAAAAGGTACCCGTTAAATGAACCTAGCCCAGGGCCAGCACATGAAAGGAAGGACACAGGGCTGCAGCTAGCAACGAGGAGAAACAATAAAAAACCGGTACTCCATGTTACGATGCTGCAACAAACACATTCCCTACCACAGAAACACAGAACGAGAGTCCCACTGCGCAGCGCGTGGGTGGAAATACACTCTCCCTGCCCCAAGGGGCCTGAAGCCCACCACAGACTGGTGCCTTCCTTGTGCCTTCCTAGCACTATGGTGTGATCGGCAGAGAACAACTCTGAAATTTAATATTCAGCACCAAAAGCGTGAATCTTTAACACTACAGATGTTTAATTCTGGTTTTAAGATAGAATTATGCCATGTTTAAATTCACACAGCTTGAATCGTATCTGAAGCGTAACCCAAGCAGCGAAAACCCTATCTGCTGCATAGATTAAAAACGCTCCAAATGCTTCTGTGAGTTCCCAGAAAAACTAAGTAGGCTTGAATGGATTGGATGCCTCTTCAAAGAGCTGCATATGCTCCAGGCATGTATTTAAGACTTGAAAATAAAAAACCTGTTTTTCCCATAACTGGTTTAAAATTAAAAAAAAACAAACAAAACAAAACAAAAAAAACCCCAATTGAAGTCATTTGGGGAGAGGTGGGGAACAGGGCCTGAACAAAATATTAAACGTGGCCAAATCAATTTCAATTACAAAGAGTCCTTTGTAATTTCTTCTTAATTGATAAACACGATCGGGGAGAATTTTTCGGCACCTTTCAGCTGGCTGCCCATTGCAAAGGCGTACGGCTTATCCCGAGCTATTGTGAACGATACCAGCGCTGCAACAAAGAGCGAAAGAAAGATGAGGGGGGGGGAGGAACACGTTGGAAACCGATTTCTGAGCTAGAAAAGAAGCTTGTGTGCCTGGGTCACAAAGAAAGCCCAAAACCTTGTGCTACAGTATGTCCAGGCTTTTGTTTGCTTGAAGCCATAACATCTGCTCCCCATAATTTAAATAAGGAATAGACAGACCATCAGACATTCAAAAAACCTCTGAGACCAAAACAAATCCAGCATAACCGGGACAGCAGAGTCTGTTCCTGCAAGTGTGTTTAGCTCGGAGAAGTCACAGTTTCGATCAATAAAACACAGGAGGCAGCTTTCAACGTGGAAAAGAAAAACAGAAGAAAGACCCTCTTCAAGGAGAGCAATCCTCGAAGGACAGACAGACATAAAAGCACCCCCGGACAGCACACACACGCTTACTACCACAACATTTTTTCTTGAGAAGCAAACCGCTGTGGTGAGAATACGCTATATGTGACCAAACTCTCCGGAAATGAACGTGTAATGTCTGCCTCGAAGCTGCCTTCGATGAGAAGGGCTCCACCGAGGACGGAACTGGCAGTACAATGAGATGATACAAAGGTAGGTTTAGGATGTTAAATGTTAATACAACTAAAATTAAAAAAAAACAAAACCAAAACCCAACCACCACCACCGTATTAGTTGTGTATAAGGAAAGTAGCTATACGCTAAAAATCCATCAAAATCCACTACGGTTTATAGAAATGAGATATTGCTTAAGTGGTGATGTATGAGCATCTACTGGGCGATTCAAAATGGAAATCCATTTGCCCCCAGCGCTTCTGCCCCTCAAAGAAAGCTGCGTGATCACCAGCTCCATTTCCCGCTACTTCTGTGCTTCCCCATGTCCCCAAGCGTTCTGCCCCGCCGTCTCCTCTTCTCCATCACACAGTTATTTGCCAACTTTGAGCTCTTACTACCACCCCAATTTTGGTAACGATTCCTTAAAGGAAAAAAAAAAAGAGTGTAACAACATAGCAGGATTATTCAGGATTCTCTAGGTATTTAGCCAGACATCAGAAAAACCCAACCTGTAGATTCCTTAGGTACACACAAGCAAAACACTTGTTCAAATACATTTTCTCCAAACCTGCGCACAGACGGCATCATAACAAGCACATCAAAACCATTTCCAGCTTACAGAAGACTATTAAGTGGAACAAATAAATAGCCTTCAGTTGCAGAATCTATCAGGGAAAAGACAGACCACATTAAATGAGAGCAGAGCTGATGACTGAATGGGTTTGGGGTTTTTTTTTTTCGGAAAGCTGAGGCCAAAACCACACCAAAACGCACCTGTTTTCTCCTTGATCTCACAGAGCACGCTGAAAAGAGCAGGCTTCATTCTGTGGCAGTTCAAGGCATGTTTTCTGAAATGGAAGAAGAAAGGAGGAGTGAACGCCAACAGGAAAAGCAGCGGAAGATGCTCACGGAGAACTGGGTCGCGCTTCAGTAATAGCAGGTTAGAGCGTAAGATTAAGAAAGAAACGTGTAAGTTCTGGTGATCTATTTCATTGAAGTGCCACACTCGGCCATCACTGGGAGCAAAACTGTCGTAAAAACACGCAGGCCTTTTAAAACTCAAAATTCTGTGTGGCTTATAGGAACAGTGAGCGCCTTCGGTTCTACCAAAAGCATATTTTATACGTGGGGATAAAGAGTTCCTTCCTGAGCGAGTACGGTTCTGTAAGATCTAATAATGGGATCCATCCCACAGGCAGAAAAACCTCCGGTGTTTTTAGAGCGTATAGATCCTGAGGGTAGGAACAACGCAGTGCCACACTCACTGACTGGCCCAGCTTACACAACCAGCGGCCACCTGACCCAACGAAAAGCAGATCGGATTTAACAGCATTTTAGTACAAGTTTTACCGCACGACTTAATTTTGCCTTTTTGAAGCTCTTCCAGTGTTTGCTGCTTTCCCTTCCGCATTCTCTCTAGGAAGAGGCAACATTAATTACACCATTAACACAGAATCCATCCTAACGTCTAATCGAAACAGAGAATTACATCTTTCGCTGAGTTGAAAGCACATTTGAAGTGTGGTGAGCACCGTACAAAAGCGGGAGCTGAGGTTTCCCACGGTGTTTTACCTAGCCCTCGCCAGGTTTCGAGGGCAGCCGGCAGTTAGGTGCCTAACTTCCACTGGAAGTCAGGGGAAAGATCCGGCTGCAACGTACGCCTCAAAAAAAAAAAAGCCTCTTTTGCTTCTTGTCACCCTTTTCGTAATTCAGAAATAATACTTAAATCACCTTTACAGCTAGGTTTCAAGACGGTTTTTAGATAAAAACAGACTGGCCTTCCTCCTCGCACGCCGATCACTTCCGCAAACACAGGTGCTCGGCTTCCTCACCCCCCGTAACGCTTCAGCTACTGC